GTGCTGTTGATGTGTCTTAATCCCCATCGAAACGGATCTGTAATCATTTATTCGGAGGATCATGTCCATTCAGCCACAATGAAAAAAATATTTTTTTATTTAGATACAATCGACACTTGTTTAATGATGTGGCCAGCATTAGGTCAGTCGCCTTTACTTCCCAGTATTTTATATGGTACCCATTTTAGGCTGGGTCAATCTAGTAGTTAATGTTGTTTTTGACAAAATCTTCTTCGATGTGTATTTGAACTCACGGCCTTCGGGCAGGAGACGAATATCTATCTGCTACACCACGAAGGTTCCCCCCGGTCACAGCTGGTACCACAAATTATTTTGAAATGTCTAGGATCATTTTTATGGAAATAGGTCCTTTGCTCTTAGTTGTACACTTCAGTGGAAATTGTTCTTTTAGTTACTTATTTATTTTTTGGAGGTGGAGGCGGTAACTGCAGCTCTCCGGTGGCTAGAGAACAAGATGCATACACATGTTGTAAGTGTAACAGACTCTGAAAGCATGCTGAGAAGGTGAAGACATGGATGCTTCGAGCCGAGTGGCAAGCTTCACTGTAAAGGTCACGGGTAGTGAACATACTTTGGATCTTTTCTCCAGGGTAATGAACAGGCAGACAGATTGGCTGGATGTGCACCACTGGGTGATGAATTGATATATGACAAATCAGATATGGTCAAGGCCCTTAGGGAATACGCAACGGAATCAGTAGAGCATGGAGATTAGTATAGCACCTTGGCTTAGAAACTGTCCCATTACTTGTAACTGAAAAATTCATACAAAAATGTCAATAATTTTCATTTTAAGACAATACCATTTAATTTTTCTATAGAGGAAAGTTGATTTTGGTGACGTCAGTGACAGGAAAGCCCTCCGAGAAAAGCTCAAATGTCGATCGTTTGACTGGTATATAAAAGAGATCTACCCTGATATCTACATTCCCATCAACACAACAGCCATAGGCAGAGTGAGTTTGCCATGTCCTTTTTTAAACGTTAATTGCTTTTTATTTACACCAAATACTTCTTTTTAAATAAATATTTTTTTTCTAAGCAATTTTACTTCAATTAATTAATATGGACCTTTGTCTAAATCAATGCAGCGGTTTGCTATCAAGTAACACACGTATGAAATGGATGCAATTCAAAGTACTGTTATATTCAGTTCTGTTTAAAATCACTCACTTACTTATTTACTTACTTACTTACTTACTTACTAAGTCGCTTTTTTTCTACCTTGGTGTGTAAAAGCTTGCCAGAAACGTCGCCAGACTTCTCTGTCAGCAGTTTTCTTTCTGACTTTGTTTCATTCCAGTCCTCTATCGGTGAGGAATTGTCGGATGTTATCTTACCAGCGTCGTCCTGACGGACTAGTTTACCTGGTTTCTAGCCAACTTTTCCTGCCATAAGGGCCGATTTTATCTGATTCTACATACTCATATATATATATATATATATATATATATATATATATATATATATATATATATATATATATATATGTCCAAACCATCGTAACTGTCACTGATCCACGCGGAATTGTAAGGTCTACATTTCAAGATCCTGACGTACTTAGTATTGCAGAAGAATTATGTGGAAAACAGAAGAGTGAAAACAGACGGGGAAATAACAAATATTCACCTTTGTGGTGCGAAGAAGTAAAAGACGCAATTAAAAAGAAAAAGGACTTATATAAACAGTGTATAAAATCAAAGAAAGAAAAAGATTATATAAACTATAGACTGCGAAGGAGAGAAACCAACAGGAATGTCAAGAAAGCAAAACAAGCATCCTGGAAACGTTTCGGTGAATCATTAGCAGAAAATGAGAAAACAGCCAACAGAAAATTTTTCAAAGTAGTTTAAAATATGCGGAAAAGAGATGAGAGCTACAACCCCACTGAAATAATTAATGATAAGACAGGAAGACCATTGATAGATCCACCCGAGATAGCAGAAAGATGGAGGGAATACTTCAATGTGCTCTTTAATCCTCTAGGAGATCATCAGGAAAGAACAACTGAAGAGCACAGAGCAACAGTGTTAGAACCACACATACTAATGGATGAAATAGAAAAAGTCATTAAGCAGTCTCCTAAATATAAAGCACCAGGAGCTGATAGATTACCAACATAAATAATTCAAACAGCAGGTAAAAGCAGCATCAGATGACTTCACAGAATATTTAATGCAGCATGGGTACAACAAACTGCCCCTATTGATTGGCAACATGCAATAGTCATACCATTGTGGAAGAACAAAGGAAGCAAACGAGAATGCGGTCATTACCGAGGCATCTCTCTTTTAAGCCATGTTGGCAAAATGTATGCCAAGATATTAGAAACAAGACTGAGACCAGTAATAGAACCACAGCTGGCAGAAGAACAGGTGGGATTTAGGAGAAATAGAAGCTGCACAGATGCAACCTACACACTTAAACAGTTAATAGAAAAGAACATTGAATACAATAAGAACTTATTTGTGGCCTTCGTAGACCAGGAGAAGGCATTTGATAGAGTCGACAGAAAATTATTATGGAAAGTAATGGCAAGATATGGAGTAAGCGAACACCTCATCGAAGTGTGCAAAAGTTTATACAGGGATTGTAGAAGTGTAGTTAGAATAAATCAGGGAACATCTCATCCCTTCACAGTAACATCTGGAGTAAGACAGGGTTGTGTCTTATCACCACTGCTGTTTATCACCTACATCGACAGTATATGCAGGAATGCCAAGCCCATGAATGAAAATGTTAGTAAGATCAACGAATTACTCTTTGCAGATGACCAGGCCTTGATAGCAGATACAGCCATGAAATTGCAACAACATTCAACATCCATGAATGAAGAATGTAAAACAAATAATATGAGAATCAACACTGAAAAGACAGAAGTAATGTCAATAAGGAAAAAAAAAAAGATATAAACATATCAATAGAAAACAAAGGCATTAAACAGGCATCTGAGTTTAAATATCGGGGAACTACATTTACCGAAGATGGGAAACTGGATAAAGAAATTAACATTAGATGCAGTAAAGCAAACCAAGTATTGGGACAGCTAGCGCCCCTCTTACAGCATAAGACAATCCCAATCAGCACAAAGATACATCTTATTCAAAGCATATTTATTCCAACTCTGTGCTACCAGTGCCAGACATGGTCACTCACAACAAACCATAAAAGAAAATTAGTAACCATGGAAATGAGATGTCTGAGAAGGGCTGTAGGAGATACGATCAGGAATTAGATCATAAGAGAAAAAGTCGGCACAAAACCAATTCTAAATGACATACAAAAAACAGAAAGTGAAATGGTTTGCCCACTTAGATAGAATGATTTGTGAAACCATACCATACAAAGTATACATGGAAAGAGAAGAAGGACGTAGAGCAAGAGGTAGACCAAGAACAAGATGGAAGGATAACATCAGGGAAGCTCTACAACAGCACGATGTGCCTATGGTCGAGGCGGCCAGAAGAGCCAGAAACAGAACCTTTTATCTCCCTCGACACCCACAGCGGAAAAAGAGGAAGTGAAGAAGAAGAAGAAGAAGAAGAAGAAGACGTACTGTGTTATTGTGGACTGTTTCCCTTCTTGTCACTTGTACCAACTTTCTTATACATTTAATTTTTGAGGCCTGAAGCTGGCTTCTGTTTGCTGCTGAAATGGCCGATTACTCACACCCATTAGTCTGGACAAGCACATAGGTAGAGCTGTGGTTAAAATTATGTGGTATTAAGATACACTGGCGATTTTCTATACAAAACTGCTCTCCCCCCCCCCCCCCCCCCTCAACCACCCCAAGAAAAGGAAAAACATGCTATTACTTCATGTTATTATCACCTTTACGGTGTAGCTTTGAGCTTAGCTAGGATTTTATTTTTGCTATTGACAGGAATAAATTCCTACAAATTACAGGGGATTCAAACACGGCACTCGATTACGAGCGACCAGAGTTATTAACCCGTACAAAAAGCAATTCTGTAATGAAAGTATTCAGAATAATATTTGCTGCTTTACCGTGTTTTTTTTTTTTTT